CCCAGTCATGTTTTAAGTTTGTCATTATAAAAGGTCCTGTAGAAATGGCATGCGGCATTAAAAATAATCTTAATAAGTGACCAGTCTGCATGTTATACTTGACATTCTGCCACTGCTACACACACGTGAACTCACAGTTACAACTTCGATTAGTCAGAACTATAATACTGAACTGCACTGGATTGCAGCCATTTTCACAAGACCCAGCAAGAACACAGCAAGAACAGAATTAACCCTGGTCATCACTATCAACTATCATGAAAAAACTAACTTGGAAAACTGGGAACAGTTATTTTCCATCCTAGTTCAGGTAGGTAGCTGCATCAGCATGCATAGGCTGCAAATGAACAAGTAAAGGTTTATCCCATGCCGAAAAGAGAAAAGAAACAACGTTTCGGCTGTTGAGTCTTCTTTGGATGTCACACCCAAAGAAGGCTCCACAGCCGAAACGTTTTTTCTCTTCTTTTTTCAGCATGGAATAAACCTTTACATTTTCCATCCTATCTGCTAATCCCTTTCAGGTCTTCCTTTGTGAAGAGCAGGGAAGCTACGCACGTCGGTCAGCTGGCCCACTTCCTTGGACAGTCTGTGCGCAGAGGAGAGGGAGGGGCTGGCCGCACCCAGCCGCGCCGACAGTGACTCCACTTCCTGCGCCAGGGGGCGCGCCGCCTCTCGAGCCTGGAGATTGGGAACAGGGTCAGCCCGCGGAGCTCACAGCCGCCACTCCCACCGAAACAGACATCAGTAACAGACAACCATCACTCACACACGCGGATTTAAACCCCGGCCCTTCCAAGGTTCCAGCTCCTTAACAACACACAGAAGAAAAATAAAATCCGTGATGCTAAATGTTTTTACTGGAATAAACCCAGAGGACAGAGGAGCTTAAATCCCCTGAGCCAGACCTGCACCCCACACTGCAGCACCACTCAGTGTTCCTCACCAGTTTCATCAGCTCAGCTTCCCAGCGTGCTAGAAAAGCGACACGATTCCTAATCCCAGGAGCTTCGGCATGGTCTGGCTTTTACTCCAGGTGTACTTGGAAACACTAAATTAATGAGTCGCAGGTCAGCAGCGCTTCAGCAATGTTTATCTGAGCCTCCAAGGATGTGGCTCTCCAGTACCAGGACTGAAGGTCACTGAAGTGGAGTAAAACATGGGTCCCCAATCCTGGTCCTGGAGACCTCCACACCTGCAGGTGTCTATTCTAGTCAAGCTGAATTGAAGCCTTAAAACTGAACTAGTAAGCTGCTTGATTGGAACATATGCAAGTTCATTTCTTTTCATAAGTATGAAATTCTATGTTTCTTATGAAATGCAGTGGTAAGAGGCAAAGGTGAACACGCTTAAGAGCAGAAAACAGTTCGAGAGTTCAAATTCAGTCAATTAAGGGTTAGGTTTTGTAACCGAGAGCTGGGCTGGATCCCAAAGCAGCAGGTGTGTGAGCCTCCAGGACCAGGGCTGGGGACCCCTGGAATAAGGGGCACCCTGACAGCGGAAAGTACAAGCCTAATCACCAGCACTAGAGGACAGGTCTAACACGAGAGCGAGCTCTCAGCTGGGCGAACTCTAAACAGCCCAGGCTAGCTGCTGTAACGCGACGCTTTCCAGGAGCCCTGCAGGCTCCAGACCTCTACCTCTCTGGCCTCCTCCCCTGTGACGGCAACAATCCGGCTGATTCCCTTCACCAGCTGCCTCTCAGCCACGATGACCAAGTCCTTGATCTCTCCCGTCCTCTGCAAGTGTCTGCAGGGCAGAAGTCGAGTGTTGGACTGGCTGTGTCTGTCAGTG